GTATTACGCCTGCACGTAAACACGTCAATTTGATATACTTGAAGTATTACGAGTTTACCTAGTAGTCGGAAAACGATAGCGAGGATCGAGGATCCGGTGACATGAAATGCTACTCAAATCCAATTATTCCAACCCCCCATATTGAGTAAAAATAAGCAGACTCGAATGTGAAGTAGAACATGTATTCTACAAGCATCCAGAAGTACGAGGTCCGAGTCCAGAAGAGAATCAGGATCCCGAACTAGGGATCCACGACTGAGTCCTGGTAGTGATCATGAAACGTTACACATAATGCATATATACATTTTGGTCGAATAGGAAACATCATCGAATTCTGTGACATTGACAGTTAAGACGACCAATAGGAAGCAACATTTGAAGTGACATTGATAGTGAGAACAACCAATAAGAAACAAGATTGGAGCACGTGACATTGATATCTGGGAAGACCATAAAATTGACCAGTAGGAACTAGCCAATAGGAATTGACCTATAATTCTCTTAGGATATTGGATGAATATCCTAACAGCTGGGTGCTCGAAGAATACACTTTGTACGCTCTATCAAGACTTCTGGATATAGTTAGCCGGTCCTGGGACAATGGATTAGAATAGCCTACTCTATGTCACTGATTCATTGTCTTGTTCTCATTTATCGAACTCGTAATAGCTAGCATTCAAGCATATCAAGTGACGAGCATAAAACAATTAGATTCTTAGGTCAAAAGTTCACGGTGTGATCACTTGGCATCCTGAGAAAATCACCTTTTTTCTTAGTTTGTACAGCAGCTCCTAGTATCTATAGCTCATTTGCCCCGAATTCACTAATCTATATGACGTATAATACTGATTCCACGAGTAATTTGTTTCGCTCTATGTACTTTTTTTCAGTAATTTTCTTAAAGAATCAAATGTCAACTTCACTACTACAACTACAAATTCAGCATTACAATTCACTACTACCACCACAGCGTCGACAGCGACAACCACAACAGCAACAAATCCCCTGACGAATTCACTTATTCATTCAGCTCAATTTCCTGGCAGACGATATCAACAAACGGATCAACGTTTACGTCGTGTATCAATGACTAACAACAACAATAGCAACGGCAACAGTAATAATTCATCGCCACAATGGACAAATCCTAGTGTGGTATGTTTGCTGGTTTGGTTTGTATCCTCGTTGTATTGTATTGTGTTGTAGTGCAAGGTATTGATTTTTCTGAGTTAGTTAACTGATGTACTAGAATTTTGATTGATTGATTGATATCTCCAAAGCATTGCTCATATTTATCCTAGGACTATGGAGTAAGCAATACTGTTGTTAGGATGATGATTTCAAATGTGTAAAAACGTGAACCTCCAAAACTGTGCCCCAAAATATCGTAACAATGCTCACTGGTAGTGACTAGCTTCGTGAGGAAATTCTCGTAGTTCTAGTTGAGAAGACGTGACTAATGGATGAGTTCAACCCTGTCGGTTGTAGTAGGCAGTAACTACCAAAGGCAAATGGGTGAGGTCGCGCAAATATCCCCTGATCAATCGGAGTTAGACATTAGCGCCGTTGGATGCCAGCCCAGTGGTACGATGGTTAGGCGTTCGCCTACCATGCCAAAGGTCCCGGTTTCGAATCCTGCGAGGAGCAGGAGTCGTGGATGGGCACTGCTGATGAGTCCCATACTAGGACGAAACGACCGTCTAAACAGTGCTTCCAGGTTTCTAATGGTGCTCTATCTAACAATGATTGATTGATGATTTCAAATGTGTCAAAGGATATTAGGTAAGGATGACAGATCTCTATAGCTGAAGTAGTGAAATCTTCATTAGTTGAGGTAGTTGGGATATGTGTTACGATTGCCTTGACGAGCTATGCTTTGTGTAGTGTGTGAGAGTAGGTTGGAAGAAATTTAGGGTGCGGCCAAACTAAAACACGGCACAAATTCATGAAGTCATTGACAAGTGGACTGAGTCATATTGGTAGATGTAGACTACCTGGTTGGGGTCCGCGAGACGAAAGTCACCAACGGTTAGAGACCTTGAACGGCGTGGCCCAAAATCGTTTGCAATAGCGCAAGTGCATCCATTCTTTGAGCTCTCTCAAATCCCAATATTCTGGATTCGTCAGCACCTCTTCCTTTGTCTTTGTAACCTTATCTCACTGAATTGTACTTCTTGAATAATAATATCTTCAAACCCTAGTCTTCTTCTTTACCATTAATACCTCTACTATCTTTATCACAATGAGATTTCATTTGACATTTACATCTCTTTGTTCTAATGTGGTATGGCAACATGAACTGATGTACGTACTTACGTACGAAGTTCTACGTTGTAACCGATTGACTGACCACCCTAGTAAGTGTTATGATTGATCGATATTATGTTTGGTAATTTATTCATTTAATCTGAACTGTTTCATATGTGTTTGAATGTTAACTGCTGAAATTGTTCATTTTACTTTTAGGTAACATCTGGAGTTCCCTCCACTACTACCTGTACGACGACTACCTGTACTACTACTACTAATGCGACTACTCCCAATGTGACCACGAGTAGTAGTAATTATTCGTCATCATTACTAGACACTGTACATACACCATTTTTTGCTTGGTCATGTCGTTGGTTCACTCGTCCACTTCTATCGAAATATGGCCAATTGAATAACAATAATAGTAATAACAGTAATAATAATAATAATAATAATAATAATAATAATAATAATAACGATTATTCATTGAAAAATCAAATTCATTCAACAAAATCTTTTGGTAAGTTACCCTGTTTCTCTAATTTTGAATAACCTTTTTAGTGTTTGTTGTTCATGCGTTTTTGTTTTCCGAATGGTAGCTGGATCCGTTTGTATGGCAACAATGTTTGGCACACGCGTGTTGCTCGAATATAATTGCCATTTTCTTAAACTTGCAATGTCAGGTGTTTTGGGGTTAATGTTACGCCTACATGTTAACACGTCCAACCTCCGAGATATCCGTTTGCTGACTAAAGGACGAGTGTACTGCGCAGTAGTTCGCTCCGTCTTACTTTATGGCTGTGAAACATGGCCATTCAGAGTAGAAGATATTCGTCGGTTATTGGTTTTCGATCATCGGTGTCTTCGAAACATTGCTCGTATATCGTGGTACACCCGAGTGATCAGTGGTGTTATTAGGAATCGGGTGCTAGGTAAGAATGGCAGATCAATAGATGAAGTAATGAAACTTCATCAGTCGAGGTGGTTGGGACATGTGCTGCGTATACCTAACCACCGACTGCCTCGTCGAGCTTTGTTTTGGAGTGTAGGAATAGGTTGGAAGAAAGTTAGGGGCGGCCAAACCAAAACATGGCGCAAATCCATGAAGTCATTGACGAGTGGACTGAGTGATGTCGGTAATTGTCGACTACCACCTGGTTGGTGTCCGCGAGACGAAAGTCACCAATGGTTAGAGACCTTGAATGACGTTGCTCGAAATCGTTCGCAATGTCGACGGTGCATTTATTCTTTGTGTTCTCTGAAATCCTAATCTTCTGGATTCTTTACCACCTATAGTTTCGACTCTCTAAACTTTTTTCACTGAATCATACTTCTTGAATAATATCTTCTAATCCTAACCTCTCCGATTACTTCTGATACCTTTACTACCTCTTCTACTATTGGATTTGAATTGACAATTACATCTCTGTGTTCGCAAATGTAGTATGGCAACATGAACTGATGTACTTACGTACGAAGTTCTACGTTGCATCTGACTGACTGACTGACATGTAAACACGTCAACTTGATATACTTGAATTATTACAAGTTTGCCTAGTCGGAAAATGAGAGCGCGAGGATCCGGTGACACGATATGCTACTTAAATCCGATTATTCCAAACTCACATATTGAGTAAAAAATAAGAAGAAGACTTGATATGAACTTACTTACCTACTTACTTACACCCCCAATGCAGCATAGGCCGCCCACCAGTTTTCTCCAACCAACTCTGTGTCCTGGGCTTCCCTTTCCAGTTTTGTCCAATGTTTTTTCATCCCTCTCATATATTTCTATATTTCTCGGCGTCTTGTGTTACTTGATACCAAGTAGAACCTGTATTCTACAAGCATGCAGAAAGCACGAAGTCCGAATCCAGAAGAGAATCAGGATTCCGGATAAGGGATCCAGGACCGTGTCCTGGCCCCGGTCATAAAACGTCACAGCTAATGCGTATTTATATATTTTTGGTCGAATAGGAAACAGCATCGAATTCTGTGACATTGACAGTTGATACGACCAATAGGAAACAACATTTGAAGTGACATTGATAGTTAGGACAACCAATAAGAAACAACATTTGGAGCACGTGACACTGATATCTAGGGCGATTATAAAATTGACCAGTAGGAATGAATCAATAGGAATTGACTAATAATTCTCTTAGGATATTGGATGAATATTCTTACAGCTAAGGGCCTCACTAACAAAAAATCAAACATCCAGTCCTTGAAGTCACTGAATCTGTGTCGATAGGCAAAAACTCTCTGATTATGCGTGTAAATCACTCATTCATGGTTGGTGATGTTGGAATAATGTAGCTCACAATCGCTCTGAATGACGCGGTTGCATTGCACAAATGTCTGCTCTCTTCTGGAATCATATTTTTAAAGCATGAGACCCTGGGAGCGTGACTATAGATCCCAAGCGATAACTACTTGAAACCTGGTCACACTGTTGGGGATGTTAGATTCCCAGAACTCGCTTGATAAATGCCTTATTTTGGATTTCACGTTTGCGAGCATGGGCTAATCAGTTGACCTTGAGATTTCATTTCCCACCAGGAAAATCCATGGCTGTGATTGTCTGCTGTGTATTTTAGTGTTCTATTTTTGTGACTCTCCCAGGGACGTTTGTATGATGTATAAATAAACGAGAGTTGTGTGCTTGATTGTATTGTACTAGCTGGGTGTTTGTAGAATATACTTTCTACGCTTACAAAGACTTCTGTTTTACAGCTTGGGATTCAAGGTAGCCTATCTGAACTCTGGTAATTGTCTCGTTCGCCTTCTATCGACTAAGATAAACTCATAATAGCTTCAAGCGTACCGACTGACGAACTTAACACACACACGGTCATTTTATGAAATGTTTTGAAAGTGATAGCTCCGCCTATCAAAACACCTTACTGCCATAGACGGAAATCCGTAAATTTAGATCAGGTATGACATGATTAAGCTTCTACCGTTTTTAATCCCTCCATCCCTTGTGAGAAGACGGCATCTCTGTAAATACTGGTTGTTTGAGGGAAACACCTTACTGCTACCACACCCCTCTACAAGTCAACAGTATGACTCCTCCCTCAGACATTGAGTAGCTGCTTTTAGTTCCATCGTTCTCCAATTGACCTGCCTAGCTCGGCGGAACCTACAGCCAATATAGCTCGGTAGGGTCTTCACGATAGTCAATTTCGACCACCACGTCAAAGATAGCAGCAACGGCCGGGAAATTTCTTGGCTTGTTATCATGTGGACAGTTCTTTTTTACTTCCCAATTGTTCACACAATAGGATGTTACTTTTTTCGAAGTACCTTAGTAGCAATACTGGACTAATAGTTGTCTTGACGACCTACCAATGTCTGTAACCATTGGTCACTATATTGTCAAATATATATATATATATATATATATATATATATATATATATATATATATATATATATATGAGCTACAATCAAGTTTCTCAATGGTTTTTTCCGGCGTTAGTTGATATTTCGTTACTGGTTATTATTATTAGTAATATAACTTATTGTAGACGACTGTACATAATCAACATTTCATATTTTTTTCTTTTATAGATCATGAATCCGTTTCATTGGGCACAATCTCAGTGGATCCAACAGCAGTAGCTTACACAGATCGTGTAAATCGTTTGAAAAGACAGCGGAAAATTTCACGTTTAGGACGTTTACAATGGGAACGTATTGCTACTGGTCATACTACTACTAATACTACTGCTACTACTACTCCTACTTCTGCTACTACAACACCACCGACAATTAATCGAAATAATTCTATTCATCATCAAACTACTACTACTACTACTACTACTACTACTACTACTACTAATACCACTCTTACTACTGCTACTACTAACTATGATATAAGTAGTATAGTTAGTAGCATGAGTAAAAGTCGTATCAGTCTACGCAGTAATCATGACAATGATGATAGTAGTAGTAATAATGTAAATGCTTCTTGTACCTTGAATCCTGTGGCATTTTATAATCATACTACTAACAGTAATAATAAAAATAATAGTAGTATTGTCAACAATAATCTGAATAAAATTAAACAACCGCCGCCGTTGTATTCTTATTCTACATCAAGTCAAATTAAATTTCATCCATATCAGTCGCATTTAGTAATGATTAATTCACAACGTCATGGTGTAACAATACATTCAACGAAAAATTTAAAACTTTTAAATACTATATCACATCGATTTAATGAAAAATCATCACTGTTCCCAGATTTTCCAATTACTTTAGATGGGTAAGTTCTTAGTGGTGTGGAGATGTATTGTTGGGTGTGTGTGTGTGAGAATGGTTTTGTGAAGAAGGTCTTTACGTGTATGCATGTCACACCATGTCAATTGATATGCTTGAATTATGACGAGTTCACTGAAGTCAGTAAATGAGAGCGTGAGGATCGATGATCCGGCATGTAGGATGGATATTCATCCAATATCCTAAGAGAACTATTGGTCGATTTCTATTGGTCATCCTAAATTTGAATGTCACGTGCTCCAATGTTGTTTCTTATTGGTCGTCTTAACTGCCAATGTCGCAGACTTCGATGTATAAATACGCATTATCTGTAACGTTTTATGACCAGGACCCGGTCCCGGATTCCTAGTCCAGGATCCTGATTCTCTTCTGGACTCGGACGTTGTACTTTCTAGATGCTTGTAGAATACAGGTTCTACTTCATATCAGGTCTTCTTATTTTTACTCAATATGGGGGTCGGGATAATCGGATTTTAGTAGTATGTCGTGTCACCGGATCCTCTATCCTCGCTCTCGTTTTCCGACTAAGGTAAACTCGTAATAGTTCAGGTATATCAAGTTGACGTGTTTTCGTGCAGGCGTAACACGGGGACACGACAGACTATTCTAATCCGAGTGTCACAAACCCCCATTGAGTAGAAGAAGAAGACTTGATATGAAGTAGAACGTGTATTCTGCAAACATCCAGAAAATGTGAGTTCCGAATGCAGGAGAGGTTGAGGATACCGGACTAAGAATCCGAGTCATAAAACGTTACAGACAATGCTTAGTTATACAGTTAGCTCGGATAGGAAACAGTACTGAGTACAAATAGTTCTCTTAGGATATTGGATGATTATCCTAATAGAAAGCAAACTTGACTAATGAAGTCCAGTTATGTCACGAGGGAGACGGTTGTCGGATGAATTTTTTCGAGGCGGTGGGTGGCCAAACCAAATTCATCAGGTCTTTGACAGTTGAATTGAGCCATGTTCGTAGGTGTTGGACTACCTGACTGGAGTCCGTGGAATGATAGTAACCGATGGATAGAGACATTTTGATTGTCACAAACTCATTATCATTATTATTATTGTGATTGTTACAAATGCACCTGAACACTTCATTTGATATGCATGAGCTATTACGAGTTTACCTTAGTCGGAAAATGAGAGCGCGAGGATCGAGGATCCGGTGAAATGACATGCTACTCTAATCCGACTGTCCCAAACCGCTCATTGAGTAGAATAAGAAGAACGTGTATTCTACAAGCATCCAGAGATTGCGAGGCTCGAGTCCAGAAGAGGATCTTGGACTAGGGATGCGGGCCCAAAAACGTTACAGATAATGCGTATTTATACATTTAGGTCGACCAATAGGAAACAACCTTGAAGTCTGTGACATTGACAGCTAGGACGACCATAATGTTGACCAATAGAATTAAACTTACAAAAATAATTCGCTTAGGATATATGATGAATATCCTAACAGTGATAATCTAATAAGGCGTCACAATGACAATGATCTTCGGGAATGTTGCAAGTCAGTCACCAATATCAATGAAATCGATTGCCTTGCAAACCAAGTGTGTAATATGAACTATCAGTAAAATTTGGGAAAGTAATGCCAAACTGTGGTGCG